CTTAAGCGAAGCCTAGGCAAAGTACTTACCCCAAAAGAGCGAGAACCAATACTCCAAGAATCTCTTGCCTCTCAAATCAGCCTTCTCACGGGTCAAATAGTAAAAAATAACTCAATAATGTGAAACAAGGCTATAGGAATTAATTTCAAACATTAAAGCTTTATTCTTTATTCAATTTCTAAAAAGATAACAAAAGTTAACCCGAGCACATATGATTAAAACCCAAGTCAAGGAGTAGATCTTGACTACCCATAATTCCACGAGTCCATATATGTAATTAAATTCAAAAATCGAGCCCAGATTGACTGCCAAATTCTACATTCTCCAAAATTGTAGGCAGAACACCCAATATTATCTTTCAAATCTCAAAATCTATGTGTAATAAATCCCTGGGGAAACAATATATATTAGCCAATTCAAGTAAAAATCACTTACCCTCAAAAGTATGGTGAAACCTCTGGCAAGCCCCAATACTCAAACTAATGAAATTAAGCCAAACCCTCGAAATATAATATTCTGCAGTGATTTCAGCATCTGCGGACAACTTGTTCACTTCGGCAACGTCGTATATGCGACAACAAACTTGCAAGTGCGAGATCACCTTAATCAAATGACTTTCGCTCCTGCAAACAACATCCACACCTGCGGATACGCTTCGGCACAAACACCCTCGCACAAGCGGCCCCGCACCTACGCAACATCAATGCAAATGCGATCAACCTGGGCTACTTCCAAACTCGCTTCTGCGAACAAAACCCCGTACAAGCATCTCTGTTGGAGCGATCGCACTAGAACCAGTTCTGCTCAAAGTCAAAAATGCTCCGAAATTATTCTAAAACACACCCAAGCCCCCGAGATCCCATCCGATCATACCAATAAGTCCGACTATATTATCCAAACTTATCCAAATGCTCTAAATACTATGAATAACATCAAATCTACGAATAGAATATCAAAATCGCTCTCTTAACTTTCAAACTTTCCAGTTACGTTGGACATGTCTGAATCATGCCTAAACATTTCGGATTACAGCCAAACTTCGCGCACAAGTTCCAAAGCACTAAATGAACCTATTTCAAGTCTTGAAAAAACCACCCTAGTACGATATCATAAATTCAACTCCCGGTCAAACCTATGAACTCTTCAATCTATCAAATTGCCAACTTTTGCCAAATAGAGCCAAAACATCCTTGTAACCACAAAATCAAAATTCGAACATACGCTCAAGTCCAAAATTACCATACGAACCTATTGGAACCATCGAAATGAAACCAACCATCCCTGCAAGTCACAAAATAACAAATAAGCATACAGTAAGCATCAAATAGTGGAACGAGGCTCAAATAAATAAATTGATCGCTCGAGTCGTTACGTTATGCATAAACCTTCCCTTATGTTGACAATTCAGCTTACCGGCCAATTTCAATACTAGATTTTCCTCACATAATTTTACAAACTTCTTTCGTATAAAACTCCTTAAGAATAAAAATTCTTCTATTACAATTTACGATTTCGTTGATTCGGGTCGAGTCGATCCTCTCACAACGGGGTCAATATTTATTAAATTAGAAATTAAAAAAAATATGGAGTAAAAAAGGTATTGCACCGAAAAAATTAGGTTTTCCAGCAATTTTGATTTTTTGTGTAAGAAGGTGTATGTTTTGTAAGCGAGCGCTCTAACCAACTAAGCTATTGTCACGATCCAAAATGCAACTAGTCGTGGTGGCACCTAACCCAACGCGCTAGGTAAGTCAATTAACAACTATCCAATTCCAATGAAATTCAATAAGACAATTAAGTAAAAGAAAAATATCTAAATCCTATATATTTCCCAAGGACTCGTAGTACAAATCATAAGCTTCTAAGATTAGAATTTACAAATCTTGTATGAGATAAATACATCATCTAGTCGGAAGTACATAAACAAATTTTTATATTTTAAGGCTACCATGAACAATGGGCAGCTACAACCGGAACACAAGTACGTCTTCAATTCCAACTCATGTCGATCACAACAACATCATCAGCCAACATATGCACGCAAGGTTCATAAGTGTAGTATGAGTACAACCGACCGCATGTACTCAATAAGTAACAAACCTAATCTTAGGATGAAAGTAGTGACGAGCTGGAACAAAGGTCGGGTCCAACACCAATAGCCAATAACAGTTCATAACAACGTAAAGCAAGTAACAAAAGAAGTAACTCAGAGATAAAATGCTTAGCTTTTTCATAGTTTCCCGAAAAATAGTTTCGCTCTTCAAGTATATCAGTGAAAACCCAAATCCTTTACCGAAATCGTCGAAAATACGAGTAAGTTTGAAAACTGTAATTTTCCCAAAAATTCTTTCAACAATAAATAAGATGTTTCATTTTCTTTCCAGATAGCAAGTGTAAAATACCTCTTTATGCCCATATGTCAATATGTGTGAGAAATCATGAATGACGTGATACCGTACAGCATGAGGAAAATGCATCTCTACGTCTGTATGTCTTGTGTGTGTGTGTCAATGCAATGTATCTCAAATATGAACTCATGTACTCACACTCTCAGAGTACTCAATCTTATTGTCTCACACTTTCCACTCATCATGCTCAATCACTCAGTACTGTATATGGTCAATCCGGCCCAGGGAAGATCCATCCCGAAATATATAGATCAACTGACCATCAGTCACTCAATACTGAGTAGGGCCAAATCCATCCCGTGTGAAGATCCATCCCTAGGTATATAAATGCTTCGGACGAGATCCATGTCCAAGGAAGATCCATCCCTCAATATAATCAACCGCGCTCATTAGGGGTATGTGTAGACTCTTGAGGGGCTCCTTCAACCCAAGCGCTATAATATTTTAGTATAACCGTTGCGGCGTGCAGCCCGATCCCATAAATATAAATAATATAACATGCCGCGGCATGCAGCCCGATCCCATAATATCACTCACACTCAGGACCTCGGCCTCACTTAGTTATCAATCTCTCTAGTCTCTCGGGCTCACAATGCAATGAAACTAGCCCAAAATGATTATATGATGTGTAAATAAATAACAACAGAGACTGGGATATGATATGAAATGAATGAACATGACTGAGTATGAAATTGCAATTTAAATAAATAATTCAACAACAGAAATGACCTCAGCGGTCCCAACAGAATAAGTATGAAGCCTAGACATGGTTTCTAATATGGATCACAGCTCAATAGCTCTAGTACGTAGAGATTTCATGGTTACAGATATGATCGGGTAACTACACAGTACAATAGGAATAATAGAGTCACAATTCACACGGTGCACGCCCACACGCCCGTCACCTAGCATGTGTGTCACCTCAACACCAAACACATAACACATAATTCAGGGTTTCATACCCTCAACACCAAGTTTAGAAGTGGTACATACCTCGAACAAACCAATTCCAATAGTGAGCAAGCCAAGCGATGCTCCAAAAATGCCACCCCGCGCATACCGACCTCCGAGCGGCTGAAAACTAGCCAAAAGCAACTCAAATACATCAAATAATGCGAAAGGAAACATACCCAATCAATAAATGTTGAATCTTTAATCAAAAGCCCAAAATCATCCAAAAAGTCCAACGTGGGCCCGCACCTCGGAACCCGATTAAACTCACAAAATCCGACAACTCATTCAGTTATGAGTCCAACCATACTCGTTTCACTCAAATCCTACTCCGAACCAATGTTCAAAACTCAAAAATTCACTTAATGAAATTTTAGACTAAACCCCCAAATTTCGCTTTGAAATCATCAATCAAATGCTCGAAACGAAGATGGATTCATGAAATATAACCAAAATCGAGTATAGAACACTTACCAAACACATACGGTGAAAAATTGCCTCCAAAAATTGTCCAAATCCGAGCTCCCCAACTTAAAATATGACCAAATAAACAAACCTTCGATATTAAGTATTTTTGCCCAGCTTTTCTGCCTCGTTTTGCGTGCTAAACGATCTCGAAACTTGTTGTTGGTGCCTCCAATGGATTCCTTGAAATTTCAGTCAATTAGGCTTTTGAATCACTCTATTTGACCTTATAATGAAGAAATATGTTGATTTTCATATTTGGAAATAGTCATATTTTTAAATACGAAGTCAGTGGCAATTTCGTAATTAATCTGAAAAATCTAGCAACCCAATTCTTAGTAAAATCACCATTAATTCCTCATACAGTGTCTAAAATCAACGATTCTTTTTGCTATGGCTCCGTAATTACGATACGGATCTAATACTTCAATCAAAACAGAAATCGAAACTCATTTGCTCAATGTTGTACCATTTATGCTTGGAAAAAAACGAGGTCGAAACATAAGAAAAACGAGCGCAACACAATCCAAACCTATCCGAAACTCATCTGAGCCCTTAGGAACTTCATACGAACATACCAAAAAGTCTCATAATATAACACAGACTTACTCGAGGTCTTCAATCACGCATAACAACATCGAAACGACGAAACGCACCTCAAATCAAACTTAATGAGCTTTTGAACTTTCGACTTCCATGAACTCGCGCCAAAACATATCAAATCAACTCCGAGTGAACTCAAATTTCTCACACAAGTACTAATACATCATACAGATCTACTCGTGCCCCCAAATTACCGAACGAAGTGCCAATGCTCAAAACGACCGGCTGGATCGTTACAGTTATGAGAGCTTGTTGCTCTCTTATTTCAGTTCAAAATAGTTAATCTCTTATTTCATGGATTTGCTATAAAAAATCAAATATACGAATGGTAAATTTGCTGAAAGTGTAGCTACAAATGATAAATACAGTGTAAATGTTTGATGTGTCGCGTAATTTTCCCTAAAAATTGTTAATATCTGTAATTGAGTTACAACTGACCGGATAGTGTGTGTGTATATGTGTAAACTCTTAGATAAAAGTATCTCATGTTAGAGCTTTTTCGGCGCTCATCAATATTACTTGTCTATTTTATAAGATCCAGTGTCGTTTGAAATTACACGAGAGCAAACGATCTCCAATAAAAGAATTCATCTACTGTATAGTTGCATTTTAACAAAATAATGAACAAATACATCATGTCTACAACTAGAACCTTAGACTTAATTCCTTAAAAGAATAGGACAAAAGAAGAAAAATAACTAAAAAATAGAGATCACATGTATGAACGCAAGATGCGTGGAATCCATGAGCTCATACGCCTAGGATAGTAAAGTTTAAAAGCCTCCATGTGAAAGTGTTTTCTGAACCAAAGAGCTGAATATTTGGGGTATCTCTTTAATCCATCAGTGTAATCCACATAGCACATTCCAAATCTTAACTTGTAACCGTCAGTCCATTCAAATGTATCAAGAAATGACCAAGCAAAGAAACCATTAACCTTCACACCGAGCCTGCCAAGTAATTATAAAACAGAATTTTTTTTAGTGTCAAAATTAAAAATGCTAATTTATGTTCTTGAAATGAATTAATTGTAAAAAGTTTTGAAGATCGTGTATGTACTCACTCTATGGCTTCTTGAACTGCCAAAAGGTGGCCACGATAAAAGTTCACTCTCTGCCGATCCTTTATGGCATCTTTCATTGCGATCTTACGATCAGCCAGTCCTGAAAATTCATGGAAACATTAATATGTAATAGACTCAATGAGTATTAGAAGTTGAAGGTCATGTCATTTTTCTTTGCCTGAGCAAGTGTTTATATATACTCCCCTTTTTTATAAGATTATGAATTAGTTCAAGAAAGAAAAAAAAACTTTTGACACATGAAAAAATACTTTGTGATCTTAAATATGTCATTACATTTTATTGCTCATGAACATTTTATGAAGGGTAAATCCGAAATTTTAAATTAAAAATATTTTAATACAAAAAAAAAAAATCTTTCTGTTTAAAATATATTAAAAAGAAAAGAGGCCATATAAAATGAAACAGAAAAAGTAGTACTCCGTATATAGTTTGTACGGTTAAAAAAGATGACGAATTTGACATACCAGTCTCTGTAATATAAATGGTGGGGTCATTGTACTTTTCCTTTGTGTAGACTAGAAGATCTCGAAGTCCTTTTGGATAGTCAAAGAAAAAGCTCACTGCAGTCTGCACCACCAAAAAATGTCTCGTAAATTCTATGAATCTTTTTGATAATTTAAAAAATAATTTCAGCATTTACTAGTTATGCACTGAACTTACAGGATCCCCAATAGGTACTCCATCTCTTTCACCTAACAATAGAAGATGCAAAAACAAAATAATTTGATATTTTCTATACCGTGGATATATTGAAATTTTCCTTATTTATTTCAATTTTCGAGTAGTTTACCTGTAACGTGGACATGAGGGTCTGTTGCACTGCTGACATTAACATTGTTTGTGGGAGGGAGATGAGCTGCGTAATTTGAAGTGTAGTAATTTAGTCCTATGAAGTCAAAGGATCCTTTCACCATCTTAGCTTGCTCCGGTGTAAAATTCGGTAACCTTTCTCCCACAATTGTACGCATAATTGAGGGATACTTTCCATACACCAATGGATCTATGAACCTATAGGAAATAAGATTATATTGTTAGCGATGAAAGATTTTGAACTTGAAATTAGTATTGTACCTGTATACAATCTATGATTGATTTCACTCTCATTAACCAAAAGCAGTGGCGTGGCCGGAAAATTACACCGAGTATATATCAAATTATATTATATATTAAACCTTGAAATTAGTCTTGTACCTGTACACAAGCTATGACTGATTTAACTCTCACTAACCAAAAGCAGCAGCGTGGTCGAAAAATTACAGTGAGTATATAAAAATATATTATGCATATATTAAACCTTGAAAACCCTTCGTAGAATTTCAGGTTTCGCCACTGACCAAAAGTATGTTTAGTCATTTTTTAGTTTAACTTCTATTCAATTTAAATATAACCACATGGTAACCGTTTTGAAATAGAAAAAGAGATTAATATTATGAAATATAAGCCATGTTACCTTCTACAACAAGTTAAAATAAACTAATAGTGTATTAATTATTTAAATCTGTCAGTGTATATAAGTTAAATCTGTCCTAAGTAATACTTACCATCCGTACATGAAGTCAATGTATCTTTGAGCTGCTTTGACATCAAGTTCACTATTGGAATATGGTACCAACCATTGCGACACAAGTGTTATTCCTATCTCTCCCATTTGAGATTCTTGGTATTTCTCTTTGTATAGACTTACTGTGGCAGCGTGACAAAGAAGCAAATGGTGTGCAACAACATAAGGCTCAGTTGCGGAGTTTCCGTTAGCACATGCATTGGATTGCCAAGGGGAACATCGACCAGGTGCAGAATTTCCTGAGTCATAGCCACCATTTGTAAAAATATAAGGCTCATTCATAGTGATCCAATGCTTCACTCTATCTCCGAATTCTTTGAAGCAAAGTTCCGCGAAGTCCACAAAATCATTCCTGCAGTTTTAATAACATTCTTGCTTTTAGATTTAACTTTTTAGATGATATTATCACACAGTTCAACATGTTATAATAGGGGGCGCGTCACTTTAACTTTTAAACAAGGTGGTCGTACATTCCAAGAAAATTAAGGTGAGGTGACGAAGAACTTACACAACGAGAGGGCTCAGAAAGCCGCTATACTCATCTTCTAGTGTTTGGGGAAGATCCCAGTGATATATAGTCACAAATGGTTGTATACCTATTCATTTATATACCCAATTAGAGGAGAAAGAGAAAAATAAAGAAAGTACTATGATTGATTTTACAAATAAAAGTACACACCATTAGATAGTAGCTCATTGATGAGATTGTTATAAAATGCAATGCCTTCCTTGTTGACTCCTCCACTTAACATGCCACCTGAATCAAGAACAACTTTTAAGCAAAAAGTGATAGCATTGTCGCAAGACATAATTATAAGCGTTTTCATGAATCGACGATCTAAGTAATTGATATTTAGATATTATCAATTGTCACATACGAGGCAATATTCTTGACCATGAGATTGAAAATCTGAAAGCATCCAACCCCACAAACTTCATGAGCTTAACATCATCCTGTTACATATTTCCACAATCGAAAAGTCGGATTTAAATAAAGAAAAAACAATCAATTCTCGTCTTACTAAAAAGAGAATTACAAAATTGAAAAGATGAACATATGTTACCTTATACATACGATAAAAGTTGTCTCCTACATCCCCGTTATTTCCCTCTGATATTTTTCCTGCAACGCCCAAGAAATTAAGACAAATGAGGATATATAAAACAGACAACGAAAGAAAAAGAGACAAAGAAATAGAAAGAAAGATGTAAACCTGGAAATTTGTGAGTGAAATTATCCCATATACTAGGTCCTTTACCATCTTCATATGCTGCACCTTCATACTGAAATGGAGGAGAGGAAAGGATATTTAATATAGAAATTCATATTGAATGAATCTGAAGTTAAATACAAACTTGTATATGCTCTGAAAACCTACTTGATAGGCAGAAGATGATGCACCAATCAAAAAACCATCGGGAAAGCTATTGCGATTTATCGAAGTAGAGGCGATGCAATTGGCAAATATTGCAAATGTGGAGAGAAAAGCTAACTCTACTGCAACTACTAAAGATCCTTTTATTACCATAGTCTCTTCTAAAATTATTTTTTCTATATAATGTAATAAATTCGGATTAGAAGTTCTCTAGCTTATGGTCTCAAGGCCAAGAATAGCTTGAGTTCATCTGAATGCTTCCCTTTGAAGCTCACCTCTTTATATAGAGTTGCAAGTTAAACGTGTATGGAAAAAATTATATATTCAAAACTCAGAGAAAAGTACGAAGAAAATTACACGTTTTGTTTTGACTGAGGTACTTTAGGGTTAGATACATGCACCCAACGAGAAGTTCGTTGGTGGCGTGGGCAATAGGAAAGTGTTAAGAGAAAACAAATATTGACCCAAACAGTAATAAAAGAAAAAAGTAGTAAAATTGGGCAGTCAAAGCTAGACATACATGAGTTTCTTGATAACAACTGGATAATTGGCTGATTAGATCTTAACTTTCAGTTTTCCTTGCCACTAGGAAAACGAAGTTTCGTAAAGGTCAAAATGGTGTGCTAACCTACGAACAATCAGTCAACTGCTATTTCAAGAATCCGTGTCATCCACAGAACAAAAGATGGAACACACCAACAATATCTTATCTTTCATATAGTTTTTTGAGATAGAATTGCTAAAAAGAGCTTGTTAAAACTTGATTAAAGAAAATGACTTTGTATACGGTCGAGATCGTATGCCTTCCATCTATATGTTCGAGAGGTCGTCCTAAGCTCGAATTCAGGCAAGGTCGAGTTCGAGCTCGAAGGACCAGACCCGAGTTCGAAGACAGAGCACGAGGCACACCGAGGTCGAGTATGCTCGACCTTGGAATAGTACCGTTATGGACTTGTAATAGAATGGGCTAGATCCCTACCACGTCCCCAAGATCACGGTGCAAATCCCGAAATAGGATTGTACTATTCCATACCAGGCGGTTAGACAGCTGTACCAAAAATATTCCTTATTGTAAATAGAAATATACCTTATTTAGGGTTCCCCTATTATATAAAGGGGATCCCAATCATTTGTAAGATCATCTAGTTATTGAGCAAAGAATATACTCTCTACTTTTTGCCTACTGTTCATCAGAATTTTCCTTTAGCTCTACTGCTCTTACTTTACTTTTCTCGCTTAATTGTTCTTACTGTTCTAAACCCACCTCGAGGTCACTAAGCTCGAGGTCATTGCTGCTGAGTTATATTGGTTTGATTCACTTATTTCTTTCATTTCTACTTCATATTTCTTGATTATTAATTGGTATTGACTCTAATCACATATCTTTAAAACCACAAATCAAATTTAATTGTTACTCGTATTTTCGAGGTAAACAGTTTGGCGCTCACCGTGGGGCTAAAGATAATAGTGATTGTTTCTTTACTGATTCTCATTACACACGTTGTTTTTACACTTTTTCTTGTCAAGATTTTCTGATTCTCAGGTTGAAACATGTCTAGCTCAAAAAATGCACATGTTCATGACAACAAAGGTCTTGGTGAAAACAACAATATAGGGGTCGGTGTACCACCGATAAACCCTGGGGAAGTGCCAAACATGGAATCGGTTGATGTAAGTTCACATATCGCTCTAAATACGGATTTAGGCACAGACGCCGGTGGGAGTATACGCAGGGAAGCCCGACCTGGTGGCCAAGGAACACAAGGAGTGGGTGATGGGGGAATAAGCCTCCAAGTGATATTCGAGATGCTACAAGCTCAATAGATGGCCATTGCTCAACTTGAAAGTTGAAATAAGACTCCGAGTGAAGCTGAACATGAAAACAATTGACGTGCTGAGCCAGCGCCAGAAAGGTCAAATGGAAACGGCTCGGGGACTGACCCCACGATTATGAAGATGCTCGAGGAGCTCACTAAGAGGATCGAGTCTAGAGAAAAGAAAATTGAAGACAATGATAAGAAGGTGGAGACTTATAACTCCCGTGTAGACCAAATACCGGGGGCACCTCCAGTTTTGAAAGGTTTAGACGCCAAAAAGTTCATACAGAAACCATTCCCTCAGAGCGCGGCTTTGATGCCCATTCCCAAAAAATTTCGCATGCCCAATATACCCAAATATAATGGAACAACCGACCCTAACGAGCATATTACTTTATACACTTGCGGAATCAAAGGAAATGATTTGAATGACGCAGAGATCGAATCAGTTTTGTTGAAAAAGTTCAGAGAGACATTATCGAAAGGAGCCATGATTTGGTACCACAACTTACCTCCTAACTCTATTGACTCGTTTGCTATGTTAGCATATGCCTTCGTAAAAGCACACGTCGGGGCAATAAAGGTGGCCACGAGAAAATTGGATGTCTTTAAAATAAAATAAAGGAACGAAGAGATGCTTAGGGAGTTCGTGTCCAGGTTTCAGATGGAAAGAATGGAATTACCACCGGTCTCCGATGACTGGGCAGTACAAGCTTTCATGCAGGGTTTGAATGAAAGAAGCTCGATTGCGTCTCGACAATTAAAGCAGAACTTGATCGAGTATCCAACTGTGACATGGTCAGATGTGCACAATCGTTACCGGTCAAAAATCAGGGTCGAGGACGACCAGTTGGGAGCCCCCTCGGGTTCAGTTCATCCCAACAGATTCATAACCAAACCCCCAAGGGACACAGATCGTGAATCAAGATTCAACAAAGAACGGTATCAACCATACGTCGATTGGAGAAACAACGGTCCAGGTCGTAACGCTCCTCGGAACGATCGAAGGAACGATAGATGCCAACGTTCTTGGGAGCTCATGAGTAAGAGCGGGTTCGATAAGCATACTGACCCTACCGAGGCCCTTCGATTATCAGAGTACAACGTCAGCATAGATGCGATGGGGATTGTCTCAGCTATTGGGAGAATCAAAGACACCAAGTGGCCAAGGCCAGTACAGACCATCCTTCTCAAAGAAATCCGAACTTAATGTGTAAGTATCATGGCACACATGGTCATAGAACAGAAGATTACAGGCAGCTAAGGGAAGAAGTAGCTTGGTATTCAACGAGGGTCACTGTTGATACCCAATTTTTCCCTCATATATTTTAAATATGCATATATATCTTCAAAGTGGTGTACATACCTTATTATTAGATTAACAAACATGGCCAATTATTTCTATAATTTTTCTATAATTTTAAAGGCTTTAAATCAATTTATTTCTGCATTTTTTATTATACAAATATCCAATAATTATCCCTCATATCATTTTTATGATGATTTAATCCTCCAAATTTATCATTCATGCCCATATAATACTTAAATATTTTAATTATATTTTTTATAATTACATTTGCATTTTTAAGGCTAGAATTGCATATTTTGCAATGATAGCCCATATATATGCGTAATTATATTATCTATACAGAAAATGACTTTTTATATTTTTATAATATTAAGTAATTATTTTAAATTATTTTCATGCACAAATGACATTTTTATCATTTATTAATTATTTTAGTAATTTAAATGGGTATTTAAAATATAGCCTCTTTCCTAATTAATTTTCGGACCTACCCAGACCAATACCCTATCCAGCCCAACAACCCAATACCCAACACCCTAACCCAACTACCCATACCCATACCCGTCCATATTAAACCCGCCCCACCCAAAATCTAATCCTGGCCGTTGATCTCAGAAGATCGACGGCCCTAAACCATTTATCCCTTTTAAATATACCAAACACCACCCAAACCCTAATTAATTTCTTCCCCCCGCCCGTCGTCTTCTGATCCTCTCATCTCCTCACCTCTTTCACTCTCAAACCGTAGCCCGCCGTCACAGTTTCCCTTTCGATTCATGGGGTCTTCTCTTGATTCCTTGCCTTATTTGGCTTTATTTCTTTACTGGCTATCCGATCTTGATGCTACTTGATTCATTGCCTCAAATAGCAAGTGAATCTCAAGAGACTCGAACCAGATATGGTTCAAAGTCTCTCATCTCGGCTATTTCCATTTTTGTCCATCCCAATACCTATGAGTACGAATATTTTCGTATCTTAGGGTTCCAAATCTCTGGTTCAAACCAGATTTGGTTCAACTTCTGTGTATTTTTATGAACCTGGCTATTTTTTGGTTGAATCTGTTTAGATCTTCCCAGATCTGGAAAGATTTATGTTCGTTTTGGTATTTCTCCTTTAAAATTTATCTCTGTCTCTATATTTTCTAGTCTTTTTGTATTATTATTTCTGACCGGTTTTATTTACCCTAAAACTAGGGTTTTGATTTCAACAGATTTTTGCAAAATAAATATTTTAACCTTTTAAACATTTCGTCTCTGGATATCTGCTAGGGTTTCCTTATTTATTTTTACTGATTTTACTTGTTTTTGTATTTTTGCCTATTTTCTTAGGGTTCCGATTATTTTTTCATTCTTATTGTCTCTGCCTATTTGCCTTTAACTATGTCGATTAATTGCTAAATGATTTTACTCACCTAAATTAGGATTTAAAATTAGCCGTGGTGTTTCTTTATTCTATTTACCTGTTCTTTCCTTTAGCAGTAGCGATTACTGGCATGATTTTATGTTCTGATTATTAAAGTCGACTTCTAATTGATTCTAGAATTACTCCTTACCTTATTTGACTACTGATTGATTCCATTAACTGATGCTAGCCTAATTTTATGCCTGTCAATTGATCTATGCCGACTCTAATTGATGTTAATTTATTCTCATACCGTATTTGTGTAGGACTGGTTCATTACCTTATTTGTTTACTTCATTGAGTGCTATTTAAACCCTCTTCCTCACTTCCTTTAGAACAACACTACAGGTGTCGAACTCTCTTATTCTCACTACTAAAAATAAGCTCTCTCTCTCTCTCTCTCTTACTCCTGTTCTGATTTCTACACTAAGTGGCTATTGTTTGGCCAGCCGAGGCCAAATTACTCTGGAATTCAACTATTACTGCACCTTTACTTGCTTTCTTCTTAACTGGTATGCCCTAACTTTTGCAATTTCCTTCTCTATGCTTTGCGTGATTAGCATGTTTCAATTTCTAGCATGATTCTGTCCTTTATCTGTTAATTTGATAATGTTGTTAGCTTAAGGCTAAGTTATTAGAATAACTCTCCTAGGTTAGTTTAAGGTTCGATTTGTTTGTACGTTTTATACCTGTTCTGAACTATGAGCATGTAATCAAGT